TTGTAGGACTTTTTTTTCCCTGTGTAAGTAAACCCCTATGAAATAATGGTACAGCCCAAAGGAGTAGATATAAGAAAAGAGCAGGGCTGTAAGTATTCCACAGCATCCACACTGAAGATAAAATACTTTATCTTCCCTTCTATGCTCAAAACCCTGCAGTAATCATATTAATAGAAGATCTTTATTACTGCTTAATGGAATTCTCTCTCTGTGCCCCTCTGCCTCTCTGTCTCTTTCTCTCTTTTGGCCATTTCTCAAATGTTTAATGGAGTAGTGAACGGTTACTCATACTATGCTAAAAAAACCAAACCATTTTATTTAATTCCAAAACTTAAACAAAACAGTAATGCAGTATAGGATATGGTTATTTTAACAAAACTCCCTTTTCAAAAGGTCTGCTAAACCATCAAGATCCAAGATCTTGTCTAGCATCTCCTGCTTGTACTTTCAGATAAACTGCACAAAGACACTTGAAAGCTGTTCTCTTTTTAGTTTTGCTGGTAAGTGTTCATCTCTGCACAATAATATCAGGAAAATAAAAAGGGTTTGGCCCAGCACCAAAACAAATATTGTTTCCGCTCCAGGTGCACCACTCTAGGGAACATGTTCCAAAGCCAGGCTGCTGATGTCCAAGGGGTGTGCAGTCTGGTGCAGTGGCAACTTTAAGGGCTTTGGTGGCCATTGTGCACGGCTAGAGGAAGAGGCACTGGACATTAATGGAATTCTTTTAAAATGGCACCAAGTTTGAGGTAAATGGTTTTTCCTTGATCATATGTACAGTGCTCAACCAGTTTATCTGTGGCATAAGCAAATTAAGTCTTAAGCCTCTATAGCTACTCCGCATAATCTCAAGAAGAAAAATCAATTTCTTGGGATCCTCATGGGAACAACTCTCTCTCTCTCTCTCTCTCTGATAAAGGAACACTTTCAATTTTTTTTCAGGAAGAAGTTAATTAGTGGTAGAGCTTGGCTTTGTTTGGGGTGGGGTTTAATCATATTTTGGCCTCAGCTGCATCTCCTTCAATCTCCCATTCTGCCTTGGCTCCATCTGTCTTTCTTCTGTTCTACAGCCCCTAAAATGGGGCACATGTTTCAAACTTCTGAACTACACTTCACTGTTGCAGCTCCTCCACTCTCTCCCAGAACCCTTCCATTTTCTTTTATTATCATGAGGGTGGACACTCACTGCTCCAGTGCTCTCACCTTTCTTCTAACAGCTTGCAACTGTTGCATGTGTAGGACATGTTGCTCTCAGGTAAGAAGGCAAATAATGCACGGTTGTTGCAGGTCATCAGTGGTGTGGAGTCTCCTTGGTCCATTGTTTGTGCAACCTTAGTGATTTTGTCTTGGTGGGCTGTTGTGACAATTGGTGCTTTCTCCTGCCTTCAGTAAAGGTTAACAACACAGCTTACTAGTAAGTAGAAGTGTGTTACAATGAGGAAAACAAGTGTGTGTGGGGGGGGGGGCGGATTAAGGTGAAATAAAGGGAAAATGTTAGGGACTCCCCCATTCGCTTGTTCCCTGGGAGCTTGGCTGCTTGTATCCCAATGGCCCTAGACAAGCTGGGGCAGATTAGTTTGCTCTGCTCTGCTCTTGCTCTGCTAGGAGTCAGGATCCAGCATGACTCACCCCACCCCCACAACTGCTGTCAGCTGATCGAACAATTCCCCTTCAGCTGATCAGCCATCAGCTAATCTGGAGCTTTTGTTGGAAAACAAAAGACCTTTGGCTGGGTAAGCGCTGGTCTGTCTCTGCTCTGCCTTAGCCTCTGCCTACTTCTGTCTCCTCTTCCACTACAACTCCTCAGCCAAACTTCTGCTTCCTCTCCCTGTTCTTCTTTTCTTTCCTCACATTTTAGTTGCACTTGAATTAAGTTCATGAAGAATATCAAGCTGTGAACTTTGCTGTTAAGTCCCACCCCTGTAGTAATCACACCACACTTTCAGAAAAGAGGAAGAGTGAAACCAAGAGCAGTGCCTGTTTCTGTGAAAGAATCCTCACTTCAGGCAACGATACTTTGGCAGGCGCTTTTTTCCTTCAGAGCCCCAGCGACATAAATTCCGGGTAAGACACACAGTACTGTGTTTCCTTTGCTTCTGGTTGGCTGTTGCTGTCATTTTTAGGATTGCTGCCAGTTTTGTTTTGAAGTAGGGCTTCTGGGGAAGACGTTTCCCGGCCTGGCAAGGAGATACAGTGAAGGAGATACACCTGTTGGCTTTCTGCTTGTCACTGTAGCTGTGAGAAATGCAGGGTTGTCAGAAAAAAATGTGGCACCTTTTCTCTTTGCAGGAAAATCCAGTCCTGCTTTATAGTTGGTTAATTACTTTTTCTGGTATATTTTAGGTTTGGCAGTTAGTGCAGTGCTGTGCAGTGCAATGCATTGCATCTCACAGACTACATCACTTTTTGTGAAGAGCATGGTTACAAGCACCAAGATTGTATATAAATAAGGAGCAAAATTTTTCTCCGAAGTACCTAGTGAGGAATGTAGCTCTTTTACAGCAAACTTTCCCAACTTGGTGTCCTCCCTGTGTTTTAGACTACATGGCCCATCATCCTTAACATGAGCCTTCTTGACTGAGGCTGATGGATAGGATGGCCACTTATCAGGCATCCAAAAAGAAAAGTAGAAATGCACCATCAAAAAGATATGAATACAATTTTCATAAAATTTGCATATGCTAATTTGTAGAGAAAGGCAAGTTAAAATTACAATATTATGACCAGGTGCTGCCTGTTTGGGATTCTGTCCAGGTGCTCATGTTAACAGGCAACTTCAAGACCCCCTTGCTTTGTAGTTCCTTATCTTTAAACTGCAACTAGACAAGACAAGCCTTAAAATAGAGGATATTTTCAAATAGGCTGCTATTCTAGCACCTTGTTGAAAAATGTCTGTCTCCTATAAAAGAGAGCACATGGTCAAATGGCAGCACATCTAGATGGCACTGGGTTGGGAACAGGCTCTCCTAAAGCAGAATTTGCCATTTTTGGATGAAAAATAAGCAACTATAGTTGGGCTTTGTTAGGGCCGCTCTCCTACTAGAGATGGGTTTCCTCACAGGGCCAGTATTTATTTATTATTTTTATACTATTCTCCTTTTCCTGTCCAGAGCCCAGGGCAGCTTATATAATCACCTCCTCTTCTCCACTTACCCTCCCAACAGCTCCTGTAAGGTAGCTTAAGTTGAGAGTCAGCAAAGGGCCCAAAGTCACCCAGATTAAAGCCCAAGTCTCCCAAGATCCACCATTTTGTCTGCTATACCACACTGGCTTTTCACATGGTTGTTGTCTCCCTGTGATTGGCCATTGCTAAGCAGTGGCTCTGGGGTCCAAAGGGCAAAACAATTCCATAGGTGACAAGGGTAAAAACAAAACCAAACCCAGGCTATCTGTTTAGACAATGCATCCAAGCAGATTGTCACAGAGAGGTGGCCACCATGCAGAAGCCTCTGAAAGGGGTGCAGTACGTACCTGCACTGAGCAAGGAGTCGGAGAACCAATGTGGCGCCTTGACTGACAATGCAGGAAGCTGTGGGCTCTGCCCCTTATGTTGAACATCACAGCGGCAGATCGGTCTTGAGCCTCTAGCTATTTCTTTTGGCTTCCTCATAATCGCTTCGCAAGAAGCTTGCCCTGAAGGTTAATAACCAAAATAAGTATTTGGCAAACTTCCCTGTTTTCACTTAATTGCTTTTGGGGAAAACATGAGCAATTCTGCTTTGAAACTCACATTGTAAAGATTCCCTGCGCGGTTGGGAAACACATTGAAAGAAACATTCCCCTAACAAGATATGTAGGCAGATAACTAAGTGATCGTGAAGAGATCAAAAACAAAGTTTCTCAAACTCTGTGGGGCATTTTTGGAGACCACTCTTTGCAGCCACCTCAGGAAAATGCCCTAAAAGATTCTGGTGCCCTAAAAATCCAAATAAAGCCAGGTATCAGTTACCAAGCAATGACAGAAAGAGTTCTCCGAATCTATTCAAATGGCTTTCCTCAGTACCAGTGTAGTTAAAGGAGTTTCTGTGTCAAGCAGGGAGATGGTTGTCTCTGCAATGCCATGAAACAATGATAAGTGTTATAGGGAAGTGGGTTGTGCAAACTAAGCTGGTTACAAATGCACTGCTATTTGTCTTCTCATGTTGTTTCCCACCACATCTCAGACATCAGCCATTTGTGGCCACTCACTAGGAACCAAGTAAAGTTCTTGGCTTTTCTGCTTGCCTGAAAGTGTTAAAACAGGAAAGCAGTCAAGTATGAAGAAAACCACAATATGTGACTGGTGTGCTGTCTGTTGCTTAGTGTATAGGATGTTATTAATTCCTGTGTTTGCTTAGTAGGGGGTTATTCTGTATTTTAATTGTATTTTGTATCATGTTTATTTATGTGAGCCGTCCCGAGGATATAAGCGATGGGACGGCATACAAAAACTCTAAATAAACAAACAAACAAACAAACAAATAAATATAAAGCACATGCACATCCCGAGTAGCTTTGTACCCTTTCCTTATGAGAATTACTAGCTCTTGCTGAACCGGTGCTCTTTCCAGTGCAGGTCTGCAACACCAGCATCCCTGGTCACTGGCCATGGTGGCTAGAGATGATAGGGGTTGTTGAATTCCAAAACAGCCAGAGGTCACCTAATCAGGGCAGGCTGCCCTAAATATTTCAGCTATTTCCATGGTAATCTTGAGTACTTTTGTTCCTTCCTGCTGTGATTTTGTTCTTTATTTCTTCAGAAGGTGGATTTGTTGGACCATGGTTCCTTCCTTAACCTTCCTGCTCCTCTTCATGCTTTTGCTGAATGGTACTTCGCCCATTCCAAACACCCAACACAAATTTCCATATAGCCATAGACGCCAACAACTCTTCTGCATGGGTAATGTGTTTATTGATGGGCTTGTGGGCAGATGGGGGTTGCTGGTTTCTGAGTAATTATACCAACAAGGGAAGTCTTTATAAGTACAAACTGATATGGAGTTATGTGATTGGATTTTCAGTCTCCTGCATATGATGAGAAAAATGTATTTTGAACCATTTTACTAAATTGTCCTTATGGTGGAGCTGGGAAGAATAGGTATCTTGTGCTGTGTTGTTCAGTGCATCTAAATGCAATGCAACATGTAGCAAAAGAGTGTGTGTTTCTTTTTTAGCAAAATCAGTTCCTGAACCATGCAAGTACTTACCTTACGTTATATTAAGAAAGCAAGTCATGCACCAAATAATTTCTCGCCAGATTTTTAGTCTTGAATGTAGTGTTATCCATCTGTTGATCAAAATGCGACTGGCCACTAGATTACATTTATGGATTTTTAAAAAATATGTAAATGTCCTAGTTTTATGTTTACACAAAAGCAAAACAAACCGTTTTAATAGAATTGTATTAAAATTGGAAACTGAGATAGGCCATGCACTCTTGAGTGTCTTTGCTATACTGTACCTTTAACAAGAAGTTCCTTGCTTTCTGGTCAAGTCTTATTTATTGCTTCCTGCTCAACATTATTAAGGAATTAGTTGTGAATTTCCTATTTATTAGTCTGCATGTATTCCCCATTGGGTGGACATTAATTACTGGTTTGCTCTTGTTGTTTTTCTTTTAATCTTTAGAGCCAAATCATATTACTAGAGCATAAACCAGTCAATTAAAGGACTATTCAACCTAAATACTCCAGCTGTCCTGACCAGGAATAACAGGAAGCCATTAACTAACACTGGGAGGGATTCTTGCTGAATGGGAGTGATCTCTGAGCAATGTAAAAGGACTTTGACCATGGGGAAGGTTATTGCAGGTTAATGCAGGATTATATTAAGTGTTGTGTAAAAATATTAAGTTTATATTCATATTCAAAATTTGACCTTTGATAGTGTTCAGTGTATATAAAATTTGATAAAATATATCCAAAATGTGTATTTAGTGTTTGGTATGCTACAGTAATTGTTTCTTTTTGTTTGATTTTCTCCAACCCCCTGAAGCCAGCTGTTAGCAGAAACAACAAAGGCATTGTATACATACAGTTCTGGGTTCTTCAGGGTCGTGAGGGCACTCCCAGGGAAGGTGTTATACAAGCATAATCAATAAGGATTAATAGTGTTCTAACAAAAGATATGAAAACAAGCTCTCACTTTCCAAATGTTACTAAATTGAACAGGGAAATCAACAGTGCTAATAACTATACTGCATGCAGATAATTTACCTGATAGTTAGAATTGTGGAACTAAGTATCAGTGACCTCCACTGAAGTCAGTGGGGCTTTTATGAGTAAGTGCTTTCAGTGCTCCAACCTCTGTATTTAACTATGGTAGTAGCACATGCAAATAGAGCATAGAGATCTGTTTTAGTAGGAGTGCTAAAAGTAATGTAGGGAAAGGGAGACAAAGACACGGCAAGCTGTGTGATGCATGTGCCAGGGCTGGCACTTCCCCAGACTTGTTTGCCCCCATCCCATGGTAAGTTCCCATGTGGAAACAGAAAAATGTGTTGTCGAAGCTGGAAGCTATTTTTACATGTGCACTCTGCAAGGTATTTACAGAAGTGGGAATTTCCTTAAATGTTTTAAAGGCTGGCCAAATAGGACGGCAGAGAACTCTCTCTTGTTTTCTTGCTTCTTTTTTAAGGAAATAGAAAGTTACTTGTGCTGCAGTACTATAGAACAAGGATTTGTTCACTTCAGTTCAGCTAGCTATTTTCTAAGCAGCCACCTCCTCCCAGACCTGGCTCTAGCAATCTGGAGCATGGCAATTCCTTAGGCTCTACATATGATCAGGAAAGACCTGGGAACCTTTAGCAATCAAAACTGAGCACTCAGGGAGAGATTGTGATTTGGGGACACCTACGCTGGCCATTCATTTATATTCAAAATAGAGACCACCACTTTCATAGTAAAAATACAAGGTTGTGCAAGCAGGAAATCCTTAATTGGCACACAATGTTATGCGTAGCTTTTGAGAAAGCCTCTACATCCTCTGCTTGTCTCCATTTACTAAGGAGAGTCCCTATTCAGCATTCTCCCCCAGAAATAAACTTTTCTGGTCTCACACTAATTTTTAGAATATGTGTGCAAAAACTGAAAAATGACTCCCATGAAGAGAAAGCACAGAAATGTCAGAAGCTCAGTGTTGGAACAAGACTGAAATGGGGTGGGGATGAGGGAGATCTGAATCTATCTCAGTATGTTCTTTAGTGGACTGGCAAGCATTTCTGACTCCAGGTTATTTAACTATAGCAATAACAAAGTGACACCAATACTAAATTGTACTGCTGAAATGGAGAAAGCTTAGGATGATCAGAAGTGGACTTTTGTTATGAAAGCCTTGTGACTTCAGCTCTGAAGAAATTCCTGGACTCAGAATTCTTTAATTCCAAGCATATGTGGCTTGCGTCATTCCCTATCTATTTTTTAAAGTAAAGATTGCATACCTGAATCTCTCCTTTGGTAATGCCTTCCTCACAACCCTCCCTGCAACATTTTAGCTGTGGCTTTTCAATTGCCAAATTTCAGCTTTGAAATGGAGGTATCAGCCAAACAGAGCGCAAACTATGTGAGCAGCAGTCCTTTCCATCTTTTACTATGGAGCACTGATACACAGAGGCAAAGTTCACCTTCAGCAAGCTCTGAATAATCCTGCATTTTTTCTCCCAGTGTGCCCCACTGACCTTTCTGTTGTCCTGTTTCTCTTATAACCCCATTCTGAGTATGGCTATTCAGAATTAAGTCCCACTGTACTCTGTAAAGTTTGCTCCTGGGTAAATGTGCATAAGATTGCAGCACCAAGAAGTGGTAAGCTCCTCCTGTGAAAAATAGCGGGTTTTGTATGTAGAAAATCATTGTTTGTAAAGCCATTACATCCTTTGGGGGATTAATTGCTTGGAGAAATTTGAGCAGCTCTTTTAAACCATTCAATGGCAAGCAAAAATAGAGTTAAGACAAGAGATTAGAGTAACAAAAGAAACACCATGTATATAGACATCTCATGTGCCATTTTTAATAGAATCTCACGACTAACGGCCACAAATAGCTAAAGTCACAGCTTAAAAGTGCACAGTTTCTTTTTTCCTCATTTACACAGATTTTATCTGAATTAATTCCACAAATCTTGCACATATTAACATTTCTGCTAGTCATTAGTCAGGTCTTTAATTATGCAAGTCTCTCAAAGTTAGTTATTATGAGGTCTACATTTGGGAAAAATGATATGATGGGATATATATTTCATACTGTGTTTTAATATTGAAAGATACATATGCTACTATCTTTGATTAAACATATTATTTCCAAGATTATAAAGTGCTTGTCATCTGAATGCATCCCATATGCTCTGAACCAAAGCAGTTGTATGGTTGAAGAAATTCCTATGTTGCCATTCAGTCACAAAGTCGTGCCTGATTCTTCCCAACTCCACAGACAACATTCCTCCATGCTCTCCTGTCCTCCACCATCCCCCAGAATACACCCAACCCCACACCCGCCTCTCCAGTGGCCCCATCCAGCCACCTCAACCGCTGCTGTCCTCTTCTCCTCTTCCCTTCAGTTGTTTCCAGCATCAGGGTCTTTTCCAATGAGAACTTCCTTCTCATTAGGTGGCCAAAGTATTTGAGCTTCAGATTTAGTACCTGACTTTCTAAAGAGCAGTCTAGGTTGATTTCCTTTAGGATTGCCTGACTTGATCTCTTTGCAGTCCAAAGAACTCTCAGGAGTCTTCTCGTACAACAGAATTCAAAAGCATCAATCCTTCAGGACTCTGCCTTCCTTATGGTCTAACTCTCACAGCCAAACATTGTAACTGGGAAAATCATAGCTTTGACTATACGAACTTTTGTTGGCAGGGTGATGTCTCTGCTTTTTAATATATTGTCTAGATTTGCCGTAGCTTTCCTCCCCAGGAACAAGTGTCTTTTAATTACTTGACTGCAGTCCCCATCTGCAGTGATCTTGGAGCCCAAGAAAATAAAGTCTGTCACTACCTCCATTTCTTCCCCACCTATTTGCCAGGAAGTGAGAGGACTGGATGCCATGATCTTATTTTTCTTAATGTTGAGTTTCAAGGCAACTTTTGCACTATCCTGCTTCACCCACATCAAGAGGTTCTTTCGTTCCTCTTCACTTTCTGCCATTAGAGTGGTATCATCTGCATATCTGAGGTTGTTGATATTTCTCCCAGCAATCTTAATTCCAACTGGGGATTCATCTAGCCCCACCTTTCTCATGATGTGCTCTGCATATAAGTTAAATAGGCAGGGCGACAGTATACAGCCTTGCCGAACTCCTTGCTCTATTTGAACCAATCAGTGGTTCTGTGTCCAGTTCTCACTGTTGCTTCTTGACCCGCATATAGGTTTCTCAAGAGACAAACAAGATGGTCTGATACTCCCATCTCTTTAAGAACTTGCCACAATTTGTTGTGATCCACACAATCAAAGGCTTTAGCATAGTCAATGAAGCAGAAGTAGATGTTTTTCTGGAACTCCCTAGCTTTCTCCATGATCCAGCATATGTTGGCAATTTGATCTCTAGTTCCTCTCCCTCTTCGAAATCCTGCCTGTACTTCTGGTAGTTCTTGGTCCACATACTGCTGGAGCCTAGCTTGTAGGATTTTGAGCATAACTTTGCTAGCATGTGAAATGAGTACAATGGTGCGGTAGTTTGAACATTCTTTGGCATTGCCCTTCTCTGGGATCAGAATGTAAACTGACCTTTTCCAATCCTGTGGCCACTCTTGAGTTTTCCAAGTTTGCTGGCATATTGAGTGTAGCACTTTTACTGCATCATCTTTTAAGATTTTGAACAGCTCAGCTGGAATACTGTCGCCTCCACTAGCTTTGTTGTTGTTCAGACTTCCTAAGGCCCATTTCACTTCACATTCCAGGATGTCTGGCTCGAG